AGCAGTTGATACTAAATGGTCCTTGCTTGAGGAGCAACACAAGAACCAAGGATTGGAACATGAAAACCCACCTCCACAATACACACGGCCACTCCATTCTCCGTTTGTCCCGTCCTTAGTAGTACAGTAGATAGAGGCATTTCCAATAAGGGGATATCCTTTGTCACACATATATGTTACAGCTGTCCCATAGAAGAAATCTTCCAAATGTTTTCCAGTGTGTTTGCCATGGGGAATATTTGGTGGTGGAAAACATTGAATAACTATAAAGAAACAGAAGATGAACAACTAAAGCAAGTATTTTGTGTCTTTTTAACTGAAAAAGTACTTTTCATTTTAATTCATTTTCAATTAATTCATTTTCCTCTGGACCTAGGTTGGCAAGAAGCAATAAAGTGTGTACTTTTATATTATTACTTATTACTTAGATGCATAGTACTACTTACTCACACAGTGGGGAAGATCACCAGTCCATACCACTTTGTTATCAGATATTATGCACTTTCTGGAAGACTTGCCAATCAGCTTGTACCTGTATCGAAACAGAAGAAACAGTGTATCATTTTATTTTCGTACAAAGACTTTAGATGGCCTGTATCTAAAATAACAAAATATCCAAAATAACAGCCTGCAGGAGAAATTAGTTTCTATGATTGCTTCGTTTTGGCAAAAAGTCCTATATCTTTAAAATCATACATCGGAAAGAGAAATTTTCTACAGATTTTTTCTAGATGAAACAGATCAAAAGGGAGAACTTGTTCAACCCTACTAATTATTTACACAATCTATGAACCTGATAGTGGTCCTTCCTTTTCATCCTGCTTACTCGTAATCTTTGCTGATGATCTTCTTTTAGAAAACTTAGATTGAAAGAAATGATATCAACAGCAAAAGAAGCAACTTCACCCTCCCCACTGAGGTACAGGCCTTGCCCAATGACTGGTGAAGAAAATGTGATTTCCCTCACCCCACCCTGAAGAGTTCATACCAGACAATTTCTGCTTACACTATTCAAAGGAGGAAGAAAGAAACAGGAAGAATAATACCACTGGGAATTGTGTTGAATTCCATGAAACTTACCCTTCCTCACACTGGTAATTTGCAGTGGAACCAAAGAGAAAACCTTCTTTTACAAGCAATCTGCCACCCACTGGTTCTCCTGGATTTCCACATGACTTTCCTAGTAGAAAATAGGAGGAATTCTACTTTACCATGTTATGTTGTGTGGGACTTAAAATGTATAAAACTGATTCAAGGTTTCTCTCTGTATTTAGTAGAAAAATCTATTCCCTTGTGTAAATTTACAGAATTTGTTTAATAAGAATATAAAAAGACTTACTTTGACAGGGCTCCAGAACTTCTGACCACTGCTGGTTTCCATGGCATGTACTAGTATAATTCCCTGGGGCTTTCACATAACCTGGACGACATTTGTATTTCACTGTTGATCCAACAGGAAAGAAGTCTTTTTCTTTATATTCATCCATTAACTCAGCAGAAAATAACCTAGGGGGGTAGCCACAGCTATCTAATGATAAAGAAAAAGACAGCAGTGAAATTTGCGAGATGCGATTTTCAACCAAGTTTCCATTTCTTCCCTTATGTTCTAGAAGTGGTTCTCCATATCTTGGAGTATAAGGGAATATGATCATACTCATAAGGTTAGAGCTGATTCATTCCAGGAAGTTCCTAGAGCCCTCCCTGAATTTCAAGTCTGAATTAAAAAGAAGTCTCTGTCCCTTTAACAAATAAAAATGTAAGGATAAGTCTGGGTTTTGTTCAAGTCAATGGAATAATACACTTTTATATCACTAATGTAATGATGATATACTGTAGGTGCCAATTTAATTGTATTGTCTTTATGGTCCAGCTCTCACAGCCATACATTACTACTGGAAAAACCATAGCTTTGACTATGCGGATCTGTCGGCAAGGTGATGTCTCTGCTTTTTAATATGCTGTCTAGGCTTGCCATAGCTTTCCTCCCAAGGAGCAAGCATCTTTTAATTTCATGGCTGCAGTCTCTGTCTGTGGTGATCTTGGAGCCCAAATAAATGAAGTCTGTTACTGCTTCCATTTCTACCCCTTCTATTTGCCAGGAACTGATGGGTCCAGATGCCATGATCTTAGTTTTTTAATGTTGAGTTTCAAGCCAGCTTTTGCCAGAATGAAACCTGGAGCTTTAGACTTATCTGTTAACAAAAGGGGCTGTGAAGGGGTCCTTAGGATTGATAAAAAGACAGCATACAAGAATCTTCTTGTGAACTAGTTCATTTTTTTTAAAAAAATATTATTCCTAAAGTACCCAGTACAGAAAAGCATTAGTTCCTTTAAAAGACTGATTCTTTCAGATAGCAATGCAAGTTGCATTCAGCTGATAGATACAGAGCTTTAGCTCCCCATTCTCTTGATTTGGCTTCTGCTTTGAATGAATGTAGTAAACTGCTTTATGGCCTAATTGCTCAACCATCCCAAGATACTGCTCCTACTGCTATTCCAGTACATGTCCATTTTTAACTGTTGCTATATACATAGCTTTTATTCTTTGAATTAAGGGCATTAGATCTGAGCTGGCAAATTCTTATGCTAGTTGCAAGCATGATCTTCTGTCTTCATTTCTTCTGGAAATCTCCGTCAGACAGATTCATCCATTGTCATGAAATCTTCCTCCTTGTCAGTCTGGGACTGCTTAAGACCATTTTTGCTTACTAGCCAATTTACTTTTTTCCTTCCTGTTTTAATCACTTCCTGACAGTTCCTTAGTCCATTTCAACCTCCCTCTCCCTCTTACCTCCAGCACCTATTGGGAAATATGTGTGTGGGGGGGGGGGCATGTGCAAGCCCATGGACAAGAAAAACCTTTTCTGGTTCCTCCTGTTTCCCAGGCTGAGTCATAAATACAGCCTGTATATTTGGGAGGTCACATGACAGGATAGCAGACAGTGTCTACTTTCTCCACTCTATCACAGAGAAGGATGAATGGATAGATAATGTAATATCCAATAAGGAATCTGTATTTTGAGTTGTCATGACTTCCTCCTATATGGTCACTGGTGTTGTTTTCTTTTTGCTGCATGTTTATTTAGATGGTCAGACCTGGCCCAAACATCAGGCAGAATTAAGCAGATATAAGATGCACATGAAAAAAAATGTGCCTCAATTTCTGAAGCTGAAATATTGTGCTTCAGAAATTCTGCCAAACCATCCTTGAACCAGAAGATTTTGGTTGTTCTGGGGTTCGGTGGAAACAAAATCTGGAAGGGACATATGAGTCAAGTATGGCAAGGTTTGTGCATTCTTGTCTCCTTCCTCTTTTGCATGGTCCATGTGCTGGGCCACCAGCCCATCATCCCAGAATGTCTTCCTTTTAACTTCAAATGTGGATGTAAGAGATTGTGCTGAGATTGAGAGAGAATCTTTCAAGACAAACCATCAACAGATAGGAGATGCCATTACAGGCTTATCAATTGTCATGGAAACATTTGTCATGGAAACATTTGATGAAGAAAGCTCCAAAATGTATTGTCGAAGGCTTTCACAGCCGGAATACGATGGCTGGTGTGGGTCTTCCGGGCTGTGTGGCTGTGTTCTGGAAGTTTTGTTTCCTAATGTTTCGCCAGCATCTGTGACCGGCACCTTCAGGCATCCTCGCTGATCTCTATAAATACCCACAACAGGGTCACATCATCCTGGGCACAGAGAGAACTGCTCCTTTCTGTTCTCCTGCCCTCTGAAGAAGCCGGTCACAGATGCTGGCGAAACATTAGGAAACAAAACTTCCAGAACACGGCCACACAGCCCAGAAGACCCACACCAGCCATCGTATTCCGGCTGTGAAAGCCTTCGACAATACATTGAAAACATGACAGG